ACGTATTGGATACCCAAACTCAGACAGCAAGTGCGAAGTTGGATCCAAAAATGTGTCCCATGCCAAAAGATGAACAATCTTCCTTTTATCTACCCTGACATGGAGGCATTACCAGTGACAAGAGTACACCGTACGCGTCCATTTGAGCACATAGGACTGGATTATTTTGGGCCTCTGATGACCAGTGACAACCATGACGGATCCAACAAGGCATATGGGTGCATCTTCACATGCCAAGTAACGCGACTCATACATTTAGAGCTCGTGGATAATATGACAACCGAGGCATTCCTAAACGCACTGAGAAGATTTTTCGCAGGAAGAGGTGTACCGCAGACTATCACCTGTGACAACGCACCAACATTCTTGTTGGGAGAGCAAATCCTGAAGGACGCCACAGAGAATATGGTGCACAGCGCGGAAGTAGAAAGCGAAATAGCCAGGCGAGAAATTAAGTGGAGCCATATAACGCCTTATGCACCGTGGCAGGGTGGATTTTACGAGAGGCTTATCCGCTCCATCAAAAACTCGCTGTACAAAACGCTTGGAGTACGCACCATCACCTTTGACTGCCTCAGGACGATGCTAACAGAGATAGAAGCGGTTTTAAATTCACGACCTCTTACCTATCAGGAAGAAAAATGGGAAGAACAACCACTACTCCGACCAATAGACTTTATCCAAAACAAGATAATTTTGTATTGCTCTCTGGAGTACATAGGCAGAGAAGGTCAAGACAAAGTGTACCACACACCCGAAGAAGCACAGCAGTTGGCAACGCAGCGTCAAGCAGAAGCAGCCCTGAAGACATCCATCGACTTAACCGAACGATTCTGGAAAATTTGGAGTGAGCAATACATCACTAGTCTAAGAGAGCAGCACAAAGTCCGGATGAACGAAAGGCGCGGAACGAAGAAATCACCAAAAGAAGGAGACATCGTACTTCTTTGGGACGCTGTACAACCAAGAAACACATGGAAAACAGCGCGTATAATACAAGTGGACAATTCTCCGCAGAAAACAGTGAGAGAAGTTTTGGTAGAAACACCAAACAAGCGCCGTTTACGACGACCAATAAATCGAGTTGTACCTCTCGAGATTGGCAAAGAAGAAATTTCGGAAACCTCTCCACCAGAGATACCAGCCACACGATACAATCTTCGTCCAAGAAGAGCCATCAGCTACACTGAGCAAGATCAAGAAGAACCGACGCCCAGAAATGCACCAGCATACCCTTTGTCGGTAAAATCACTGCTGACGGTAACGCTACTCTCGATATGCATAATGGGAACGACGGGAACGAACACCAACGGCAGTTATCACCTTCAATGTATCGAAGGAGGAGTATCTCTACTGCAACCAAGTCAACAGCCCTACGAAATCTGTGCAGAAGACTTTTGCTTGGAGTTCAAAGCACCTCGCCGACAGGAGTTAGTGAAATTTCCTCCACAAATCACTCTGCACGAACAACTCGTGAGATGGAAAATCTTTGATGGAGAAGAGGTTCATATGATGGAAACCACCTGCAAGGCAGCACCTTTTTGCAAACAGATGGACTGCACCTTTTGTGCAGTAATGGTGAGCAACCCAGAATGCTGGCCACGCACTGCCATTATGGTCACCGGGTTGTTAATATACTTGATAATAACTATGTGCTACTGCCTATTTTATGTGCCGGTGTTGATCGGAACTCCGTTACTCTATGGACTGAAGTTAGTCGGCACAGGCGGATGGTGGACATTCAAGATACTATGGCATATGCTGAAAATGGCAACAGGCACATATCGACGTCGAAGAAGAAGAGCATGGATGAGAAACGTCGTTCTTTTAACAGTACTCTGGAACAGTGGTCTGACAATCGGATGTCAAGATGTCGACGTGCTGACGCATCATACTCAAGCATGCACACAACTTGGAGACGAGGAATACTGCACAGTTGACACCACAGAGATACTGAAGATCAACCCTTTCAAGCAAGAAGCCTGTATGAGACTTACAAGCAATCAGACCAGTATCCTGGAAATCAAGCTAACGTGGAAGAACCTTAATTTGTTTTGCGAAAAGGAAACTCTCATGTTTTCCAGGAGCACTAGATACGCACTTCTGGATAGCAAACGCTGCCCCCATGCCGGATCATGTACAGGAGAAAAATGCGCAGGGATACACCGGACATCAAAGGTAGCAGAATTGCAGCGAGTCAATGGCTACCCTGGTGTCACTGGATGCGTCGAAAGCTGTGGAGGACCAGGTTGCGACTGCTTTTATCCAAGCTCGGGATGCCTATTTTACAGAATATATCTTGTTCCCACGGATGACCATGTGTACGAGATCATCACATGCCCACGCTGGAAGCAGTCGGTAGAACTACGACTTATTGTAAACAAGCAAGGTTTCTTGCAGCAAACCCACAACTTTCATGTCATCCCGAATCAACCGAGAAACATATCACCGTTTACAATCACCCTTTCATCACTGAGCACGCCACCTACGCCAGCATTGAACTCAATCTTTATCACAGATGGGAGGCGACATGCCATTATGGAAGCACACCAGGAGCCGCCGCTAGTATGTAGAACATGGGAAGACGCGCGGAACCTTACTTGTGATGTGTATGAAGACTGCAAGTGCACGGCTGCCGAAATCAAGATGATGTGCGACTGCAAGGAGGTAAATCTCACTTCCTTGATCAGCACCCCACGACGCAGACTGCCGATTATACGACCTAATCTCGAATTTCGCATCATCGATGAAAGGATCACAGCTCGCATACCACAGCTGCCAACCGCTGAATTTATACTCCGAATGAGTGGCAAAGTTCGCACCATGTCTTTGAGATCCGACGCCACGTGCACTATCGCGAGCGCGTACTGCACAGGATGCTACAATTGTGCGAAAGGCGCAACAGCATTGCTCACGTGCATAGCTTCGGTAGCGACAACAAAAGCCGAAGTCCAATGTGAAGACAGCTTTTTCGTCATCCCATGCAGTAAGGAAGGAACGGAAAGCAATATCACGGTTATCGCTGATAAAGCACAGTTTCACAGGAACTGCACGGTACAATGTGGAAAAGCGCAAGCTGCATTTGAGATCTCAGGCATTCTTCACTATACCGGTAACCTGGATATGGCGGCGAGAAGAGTACTGCAAGGAAAAAGCGAACTGTTTTCCGAGATCAATTTACCCGATTTCACGCACTTAGCGCAGACTTTCCTGATGTGGGGCAGTGTATTAGGAGCGACAGCACTGGTTGTAATAATCGCCTTGTTGATAACGTACTTCTACGCCTCCAACAGGTCATTAGAGCCCTCTGTGGATTACTCTATGCACTGGCTAAATTGGCACATCGAATGGTTCGACTCTCCTGGCTGTTACCATACCGATTTCTTCGAATGCTCTGTTCACTCAAAAAGAAGAAACCAGAAGAAAAGGACTTGTGAGATCACCAGAGATTACAGCCACAGCGACAGCGCAGCAACGACAAACTAGCCCCTCCCGAACTCATTGGTGAGGCCGGAATATACGAACTTCGCAGCTCGTATTGTTCTTTTCTCCCTCATATAGAAACTCATCATATCCTTGTAGTTTAGTCATACTTTGCCAGTTGCAAAGCATCGATGATTTGCATCGTTTTTTACTACTGGAGGAATTTGCAGATGTTGGCATCAGATGTGAATTGCTCATGGTTTTTTAGCTAACAGTAGGATGTCGCGCGCAGCTGTGGTTTGAGGATGTGATCGTACGCATATAAATAGCTGACAGTGCACACTCAGAGTTATTCACATGTACTACTTTTGCTCATTTGCTTTAACATTATTCACTCACATATTTTGCCTTCTTCCAATCATAGCATTCCTATTTGTAGTTCATCATTTGATAGTATATTTTGTTATTTGTTCTATCCGTGTTTGTTATTGTTATTTGTTTCTTTGATAAAGTTTAATTACCCAAGTTTGAGGTGTGCTCGTGTTGTCCAACGCTCAAGACCCGCGTGGCAGATAATCTTTGTGGTTGTGGTTCACAAGTGGTATTCGAAGCCTTATAGTTCTGACTATATCCCAACCACTAACCAATACAGTTACTGCTTGTTTCTAGAACTTATGAAAACAGCCCGGAACTTCCGATTCCTTGCCGAAGCAGCGTTTGTTTCAAAGTTTAGCGCTGCAGGCAAAATGGAGAGTCATGGCTTCGTGCTATACTCTTTTTTTCGATCCCCGTTAGTGGAGGTTATTCGGATCTGACTGCTGTCCGAGCATGAAATATACAGCAAAATGTTCTCGCAGCTTGACTGCATTGTTCCCTGTTGATACGATTGCTTTATCTGAAAAAGAGAACAAAAGTCGCTACTGATAGGAGTTAATGAGTTCCTTCAAGTGTCGCACGTGCTTCGCTACACTTGGGTATTGCTTATATTCATAGCTGGACTGGAGCCAGGTACTTTTTATAAATCAATTCTGTTATTATTCTACTATTCGTTTCTGTCTATTAATCATATGGGACAAAACAATCAACAGAAATCAGAAAATAATATAGTCACCTAATCTGATGTACATCAGTTCATAAGCAAATTCTCGGATATGCTGGATGTGGCTATGGTTGTCACCATCTGGCTTACCACCAGACCTGGTTGAACTTTAAATGAGAAAATTTACTTTTGACTTTGCTCTTGGCATCGTCAGTCAGCTCCCTATCTCCACCTAGTGCTAGACATTCTAGTAAAGCGACCGTCAATATTGAGCTCAAACATCCGAAGCATGATTCTATTCCCCTCTGTTAGATCGATTGCGCGTCCTATGAGATAACAAAATTTTGAGACGCAAACCGCAAAATTCCATGTGAAACAGGTTATATACCACATCAAATTCCTATTCAACGGAACTGTTTCACACCCTCTCAAGAGAAAGTGAAATAACATTTGATCGAGAGGATTACTTGTGCCTGTGTGAAGCACCTTGGTTCATTGGCGCAGAATGAGAATACCTGCATGAGAGTTTTTTTTTCAGCGCTGTCGGATACGTGCCAAGAATGTAAGTTCGCTGTTGACCTTCTGCATGATGCTTGGGGAGAGAAGACAACAGAGGAATGCGTCGGTGAGAGATTTTACAAATGAATATTTTCTGCCAAATTCCGTACTCTACGCTAAGGCAGATTTTTTTCGGCCTATTTTTTGTCTTACCCAGTGCTTATGAAGGTGCTGATCCCAAATAAGGATTGAAAAGCGTAATACGTCAAAAATCGAGATTATTCTTCCGGAAACCAAGATAGCTGCCACCCAGTCAGGGCTCGGCACAGCTCGCGCCGGGTCAAGCTGGATATCGTTTTTGGGACAAAAAGCGAGATATCGTTTTTGAGACAAAAAGCGAGATATCGTTTTTGGGACAAAAAGCGAAAGGGATATCGTTTTTGTAGCCGAAAAGACACATAAATTTCGACGTTTTTTGTCGTTTAAGGTTTTCTTCAACGTTTAGGGTTTAGGGTCAAAGGGGACTTCATATGAAATTTTCAAGATGGCTATGCAGATTTTTGAAAATTCTCTGGTGCCAGGTCGTGCCAAGCCCTGGCCCCAGATCAGCTTACGGAGGACAAGCATATACGGAACGAAAACAATTTCAGGAGATCTCGCCATTTTTATTTGCCGTACATTCAGAATAGAAGACAACTTCATCTGTAAAGGAATTGTGAGAGATTTTTCAGTAAGTTTGCCTCACCCATGTGCAAATGCAAGGCGCATTTGCTTTCATATTATTAGTTATCAAACATATATCTCTTAGGATGAGTTCATGTATGTGTTGGGGCAGATTATCGTCGAGCCGCATCAGATATGTGGACTGCTGTTGGACGGTAGATTATTTGAAAACTATGTTGCTTATTTCTCTTTACTCCTGATCTCAGTGTTTGCTTATCAGATTGTGGGAAGTTCATAGATCCGTTCAATTCCACTTGGAGTATTCCCATTCCGAACGGGCAGCCAGCTCCCATAGATAAGCAACCTGTGCCGGTAATTAAAAAGCATTTTACTTCATGAAGCGGAGATGTGGTTGCTTTCAGGGAGGCAAGCCCGTTTTGAAAGTCTTGCATTTGACTGACATCCATCTGGACATGCTGTACACTCCGGGACTGGAAGCGAAATGTGCAGAACCTCAGTGTTGTAGACCCCAGCAAGATCCTGACGTGAGACTGAAAAAATACATGACAAATGAAACCAATACTAAGCAGCGGCTGCTGTCAAGTATAATATCTGATTTGTAGGAAGTGTCGGTTGCAGCCGGTGTGAAGGAAGCAGCAGGTCAGTGGGGTACAGTGGGAAACTGCGATGCGCCCTATTGGCTACTCACGAACATGCTCGCATTTATTCAAAAGAACCATAAAGATGTGAGACCTGCTTATCAGCTAAAGTCTCTCCTATACAGTAATCTCCTAGCTGGACTACGTCATGGTCTCCGGTGATCTAACATCTCATGCTGACTGGGACTACACACGTCAATCGCACGTGGCCATAGTCAAAAACATTTCGGACACAATCAGATCGTAAGCCCTTAAGTTTCTAGAACTGCAGTCATCTGCTGAAGTCACTATGTGGAAAATGGATGCTTGTCAGATTTTGATTATATTAGTACTTACTATATCCTTCAAGTGCACCGTAACTCAAATCCTCCTTTCCAATCCAAGCACTAGATACTGAAAATGAGCTGCAAAAGCCCCGATAAAAATAAATGATTGTGAAGAGTAGGCTGGGGTTTTGAAGTGCGTTTTCAAAATTTAGCGCATGAATGGGAGGGTGGGGGTGGGGGTACGATGTAATTGGGGACTTTACTATCTAACACCATTGAATTCTCACAGCTTATTTTGCCAAGCCCAAGAAGAGTGTGAATGCAAAAGGTGTTGTGCTGCATTTGAATGTTTTATTATATCCAGCCGCATTCACGAAAATTTACTACCGTTCAGTATGCGACACACTTGGGGCACCTCACCGTTTTTTCAATTCTCATTTTTTTATCGCTGTATGGGTAGCAGTTGTTAGCGTGATGACTTGTGTGTGTGTGCCATCTTTTCAAAATAAACCAACCGTAATCAGAAAACAATCTAGTGGAAGGAAAATAACCGATCAGTACGAAGTGGTTTCCAGTCAACGATTAAGCAAAGAGAGTCGCGCGAATTTTTTTTTTATCATTGCTGTTGTTCGGCCACAAAAAAAATTTTTCAACCAGGTCAGCTGTATGGCATCCTTACCCTGAAGTGAAATATCAAATCGATCTATTTATCAGCAAGAGATTAGTTAACAACATTTGTTTGCATTATCGGATCTCATCCGGTGGAAGGAATTGGTAAATTTCTTGTATTTTTCTTGCATTTGCGAAAATTCCGCCACGCAACAACCGTTTCCGTCATGTTGGCAAGTTCCAAGCGAGAGGGATGCTATATCCAATGTGTAAAATTTTTTTCTGTCTGTTTTAGACGCACCATATTTTGAGCGTAAAATTTGCCATAGCGATACAACGTAAACTTCTAGCGCGTTTAGTATCTGGTTGGTCAGCAATTTCAAAACTAGTGAAAATAGGGAACAAGTCTTGTGTGCTGTTGAAAGAACTTTTGGATATTTTCCCAATATTCCATGCTACTTCGCTGTAGGAAATCATGAAGGAGTGCCCATCGACAAGTGAGTTGTTTTCCTTTCTGGCTGTCTGTAAATAAGATTCGTCCCACTGTTTTACTCTAATATGAAAATCCCTCCAGTTTCGCACCTCATTTCACTCCGAAACAATTTCATATGGATTGGCTTTACGATGCTATGGCAGAAGCTTGGAACGGGTGGATTCCCCAAGATCAAGTTAAAACAGTCCAGTAGTGAGTTAAAAGCTATGTAGATATAATAGCGCATAATGAGAATACCTTTGAGCATGGGATGCTACATGAAGAAGATTTACCCTGGATTACGACTTATTTCAATCAACAACGCACTTGGTGGAGACTCAGTAAACTAGTAATTTTTCTGCATTCGCTTCTTGTTTCCTAAGTGCACGATTGCAGGGTGCGTATTTGCCGCAAATGACCGCGGGGACCGCCCTTTTTCGGTGACATATAGTCCTCTACCCCCATCACACCTATATCCCCCGAGACCCGAATCTGCCGGGATCTAAAGGCAGTGTCCGGGCAAAAAGTCGATTCTGAGGTTTTGTGCTTACCCGGGCCTATACGCTATGCTGACTCCGAAAATCCACACTGGAGAGTGCGAAAACGGCGAAAAAGGGCTCCAACACAGGTGGGAAAACAGAAGTGGACGGGGTTCTCCCCACTGTGAATTCACGCTTCCAGCATCTGTAGCGAACTTCTCGGTTCCGATTTCAAGTCAAACGTTCGCACTTGGCCGGTGGAGATGTCAGGGCGGGTAGCGGAATCAACAAGATTGCTCTAGAAGCGTGAATTCACAGTGGAGAGGACCCCGCCCACCTGCTGATTTCCCTCATGCGTTAGAGCCCTTTTTTTGACGTTTTCGTGTCTAGTGTAGCTTTTCGGATTCAGCATAGTGGATAGGCCCGGGTAAGCACAAAACCTCAAAATCTACTTTTTGCCCGGACACTGCCTCTAAACACTTCGTCGTTTGAATTTTGGACTTACTGACCTATCAAACATCTATTTGGTTACGATGTATGACAATTCACTGGATCTTACAGGTTTGTCCAGCTAAGTGATTAGCAACAACATCTATCATTACACAACATCACGCAACATGTTTTCTCTGATGGATACATTATCGTCTATTTCCAACGATCATGTTTAGTGCAAATAGCAAGCTCTTTTTTTTTCTACAAAGGACTAGCATAGCCGCTGCTGCATTCTAGAAAAAGAGCTTGCCGGTAGAAGATTTAAGTTATGAAGAGTTGAGCGAAGAGTTGGTTTTTCTAAAAGAAAGAGCGCATAAAATAATAATGAGCTCATTTGCTAGCTCGATTCGGGATGGATACGAGGATGGGACGAGTAGTCCCTAACCTCTCAAATCGCGAGTATGGATTGCGAATATTTCGTGGTGGTCTGAAGCAGAATGCTTGGATTGATTGCTTATACGAAAGAGATTACAATCTTTCTTTTCAAAAGATCCCATTTTTTTAAAAATGTTGGGTTTATCAACACACTAACCCTTCCTTCAAAGCTCTGCAAGAATGATTTCTAGAAGGTTGCTCATGTTGCACCGCTCCAATAGCTCGGAGAAGATCTGGACCAAAACTATCAATGGCAAAAGACCTGGAGGTGACAAATTTTATGTGCTTTCAGTTGAATCGACGATCATTCCCAAGTTCATACCCAAAAAATTTGCTGGGAGAGCCAAGCGTGAAAACCAAGTTTTTTATGCGTGGCCAGGTTGCATAGCTTATTTGTAGAGTTATAAAATGTGTTATTCTACGTTCATTAACGAGGGCGTTTCTCACATCAAGCATGTAGTTTGCTGCAGTCTTCCTCTAATGTTTTTTTTTTGTTATTGAAGATCTTTTCGTCATCAATTTGTGTCAAATTGAACAGCAGAAACCTGGTCTGTGAAGTAGCAGGATGATCGTAAAGCCTATGAGTCAGTGCCAAGAAAGACCAGTTTTAGGCTGTGAGATTAGCGAAAGCTATCGCCACTCACAAACCAATCTCAGTCAGAAGTATAACATCAATGCTACATGGCCAGCATTTTCTCGTTTTATTCCTGACATATGTATCTGCACAGTAAGTAATTACCAGTATTGAATTAATGAATAAATTCCACTGTGATTTTTAGAAATGATCCCAAGGTGTTCGAAACCATGCTCCATAGCTTTCTTAAGATGACATCGAATTATCGTTTGACCCCAGTCTCGCGATCTAATTATGCATCGGTGGGTTCTTTATTGCTATATTTTTTCTGAACATTTCTTCATCTTTTTTATCCTGGTGGTGAGTCAGCAAGAAACAGCTCTTCATTAGTAAAAACATTGATAACATTTTAAAAATTTAAAAAAATGCCAATAAACTACATACCGATTGTTTAATTCTGTACTTGACGACACCGATTATATTCTCGCGAAGCTCTTGAGAAAGAAATGCTATCATTTTACCCAGACATATATGATCACCGTTTCAGAGGCCTATTGATTACAAAATTGTTGATCGCACAGAATATGCCGTCAATCGCAGGATTTTGTCAAAGGTTATCAATAATTATTTTATGGACGCTCTGGTACAGATTTTTTGGAAATTCGTTTAGGTCTTCGAGAGTGACCTCGTATTGACGAAGCCGCAAATGGACGAGGTTATTGAGACATTCCAAGCACGAATTAGCGGTAATGAAATAATTAGCGGTTATAAAACAAATGTAGAACAGTTTGAAAAATAAGTGTTCAATTTTTTGACTCTGAAGCCATCATAATCCTTTTTTTTTATTTGTTTCTGAATTCTCAACAAGCGCACCAAATATCATTTGTAAAGTTTGTATGCACTTATCGATGTCTTCAGGTCGAAAACCAAGAGTTAGAAGGAATGCTGCCATAAAGGGAGAAAATTTTAGATGGCCAAATGCGACAGTTCCATATGAGTTCAAGGACAATAACAGTGAGAAACTCTGAAATATTATTTTCTAACTTTTCTTCACGTTATTTGCTATGTTACGCTACACAGACGGTGCGAGCACCTCATTATATACTTGCCTGCTCAGATTTTTGAAGCCAGATATTGCAGCTGAATGGCAAGGTATAATCCGCAAAGGAATGTACAAATGGCAAAAAGAGACCTGCATTCGTTTCGTGAGAAGAAGCTCTGAAAAAGACTATGCGATTTTCTTCAAAGGAGGAGGGTCTGTTTTTTTTGTTCTCATTGAAAATATTCAGTGGGCTTTTGCAATAACAAAACGGACAGTTGCAGTTGTTACTCTAACGTTGGAAGGACTGGTGGACGTCAGTACGTTTCGATCGGTTGGGGCTGCGAAGGGGTAAATTTTTCGTCCCTATGACATCGTCCGGAAGTCAAGCTGATTCCAGGGAGGTATCGTAGCGCACGAGATTGGACATGCCCTTGGTTTCTGGCACGAGCAAAGTCGCCCGGACAGAGACGTTTATATAAATATCAATGAGGAAAATATTAGCAGAGGGACCAAGGTGGCATTTTCTGCGAGTTGTCCCATTCTGAAACATGGTGTATTCCAGGGCAATTTCGAAAAGCGCGACGACATTATGGACTCAGACATACCATATGATTTTGGTTCCGTAATGCACTATGGCCCGCAAGCCTTCACGAATAATTGGAAATTTGTTACTATCGAGACGAAGGTATACCACAAACTTCGCACGTCTATCACTATACTGAATTCTCTTCTCAACTGGCTCCAATTTTTGCCATTTCAAGTATCTTTTCTTTAGAATCTATCGCCGGAAATAAGTATGTTCTCGTAACGTATGCGTGCATTTATGGTCCTTCTCATGTCTAAGCAGGCTGTCAAAAAAGATCTCTGTAACACCACTGCCTAAAGGGGCGAACATACATCACGCGATTTCATCGCCTCGCGATTCTCCCTACAAGACAACTGCTACGAGTTCATTGCATGTCTACCATTACGCATTCCGGTTGTGACGGTTGACCGCGGCTGGACGCTTGGAAAAACTATACTAAAAAATTTTTATTACCCTAAGGTCTCGGGCATTTTCGGTTTTGATACTCATGACGATCAATCGTGCCGGAAAAGTATCACAATCAAAATGCAAGATGATCGGCCTGCAATGAACTAGTATCAGTTGTCTTGTTGGGAGAATCGCGAGGCGATCAAATCGCGTGATATAAGACCGGCCCTTAAGCTGAAGCAAAATCGCTTTAAACTGATTAAGTGAAAGCATAAGACGGACTTTCAGGACCACCGATTCCAGCACACGATCGGGCAACGCGCTGATATATCCTTTATCGACGTAAAGCATGCGAATCGCTTGTATTGCTCACGTTGGTGACAGTGGAGTCAAAATGCGTTTACCACCACTGCATTATCGTACTTACAGACATCTGCAAAACAAATCTGATGTGCGAGAATGGCGGATACGAAGATCCTAGAAACTGCATGCACTGCAAATGCCCACCTGGTTTGGGCGGATTGCGCTGTGAACGAATCGCTGATTCAACGCGTGAGTGCGCGTAGCAGTGTGAATGTCTTTTTTTGCCTTGGAAAAGTGAGCTTCTAGCTGGTTGCGGTGGCGAAATGTTCGCAACAGCGGTCTGGCAGACTCTGAGAAATTCCGTAGTCGGAGCTTGTCATTGGAGGCTGTATGTGAGTGAAATTTCTCTTCATTCATTTCTTTTCTACAGTGAGGAACTGTAAAAAGAAAAAGAAAACTAGGTGATAAAAAAGAAGAAAAAGAAACTGTAAAAAAGAAGTGAATGAAGCTTTTTGTCAGTAATCGTTTTAAATCAGGCGCCGTCCGGCCGTATCCATGTAGAGGTCATTGAAACTAATTTTGTTTGTGATTCGTCGTGTGCAGATGAATACTTAGAAATAAAACATACGAAAAATATGGAGCAGACAGGGTTTAGGTAAGCTTCACGGATTGATGGACGTTATCAGCTAATAATAATCTTTAGGCAATGTTGTAATCCGACCCCAGGAAGAATTTTGTCAGAAGGGAACCAAGTCATCGTTTCGAGTATCTCTCATCGGGTTCCGTCGAACTTCACACTGAGATTTATCATAGGTTGCTTCACATCATTTTAATGCTCGTTTTCTATCAACTTTAACTATCAAATTTAACTGCTATTTTTGATGTTCACTTACATTCTCTTCTAATCTCCTCATGTGGTTACGGGCAATGTTTAGATTCTGACTCTATTCCCACACCTCCACCGGCAGCTTGGGAGGGTAATGGTGGCTTAACTGGGCTCCTGGCTGCTAACGAAGCAGGAATTGACAACACTTTTGAGACACTCATACTCAAGGACTTTCCTAGGGCAATAGGGTAAGAGGCGATTCACTGAGGAAGCTATTTTATTGATACTTTTTACTGTTTTAGGCGAAACCGTGGAGAAGCAAACATCGCCTCGTTGTTTGGAATTCTAGATTCGTTTCTCAAGCATGGTTAATGTTGATTTGCTACCGCGTAATATCATGACACTGCAGGAATATTTATATTTATTATGTATGCGAGTAAATATCACAGTTCAAAGATTTTTTGTTCAAAGAGCGGATCTGGAATTTTATGCCCATATTGAGTCAATAGCTCCATGGCTCCATGGTGTGCCATAGAAAAATAAATTTTTTGAGGAACGTAGTTATGAGCAAAGCTGGCAATGGTCAGGCAGGTTGTAGACTTTTTTTTAGACCAATTTCTCTCAAATCGTTGCCGCGGAACTTTCTAGGCTCACTTTTTTCTCACGATCTGAACATCCGAGAAGCCTGCAGGTGTTACGACCCGGAGGTACTTTACTGGCTGCCCCATTGAATCTATGACCCTGCGCGGCTCACTTTGAAAATTTCGTCACGCTCACGCACCTTCAACAACCCCTTGTTCACTTTCTTGTTTGTCATTTCACTCCACTGCGTAGTCATGTTGTCTTGTCCTTTTTGACATCGCCATATTATCCTTCAGTTCGTGGACATGAGAACAATATTTGTGAGCTGGAGAAAATCTGCAAATTACATGCTAATTGTTCGAGAATTATGGCCGGTCAGTCAGCTAATGCTTTGGTGGGCGAGTGACGCCCTACACTTTCCTCATGCAGACATAAATAATATTAACATCGAACTTTTACCATGGACTGCGGTAAACAGAAGTGGTAGGCAGAGGGAATGACTAGCTTTTACAGAGTAAGCAGATTAGTAAAATATGGTGAGAAGCGCTCATTGCTTAGTGCTCTAGCCAAACTTGTTCTTGGTAAACTTAATTAGTAATTTTGTGGAGATGTAAATGCAATGCAAAAAATAAACATTTTGACATCAAGGTTATTCTCCTCTTCGTTTTGAACTTTCCTTCCCTTTACTCACGATCAGCAGTACAATTGTAAGTCACAATTTGACCCGAAACTTGCTTTCGTATATGACAGCGTATGTCGAGTCATTCCCAATGGCTCGAAAGATCTAATTCTGCGTTGGAACAAAAATCAAATATAGAAAAAAAGCAAGAATCAACATAGTCATATCGCGGCAACAGAAGATAGAGGCAAACACTCACATTACATTTTTCCGCTTTTAAGTCCAAAAATGCCGGAAGGTCCAAAAATCTAGAATTACTTTTCATTTAGGTTTCGCAATCTACACTGTTTAACTGAGCCAAATTTGTGCGGATAGTCTCTACGAGAAGATGCCATTTTCGGAGTTGATTTTTATTTTCGAGTTTTATATTGCCTGAAACAAAATCTATAATGTGTAAAATAAGATGCTGCATATATTTTTCACAATGAAAAAAGTATTAAACACTTTTGAATGAATTTTTTGGATTGGTGCAAGGCTTATGTTCTAATCTACTATATCTTGGCTATTACCAAAAAGAATAAACCTAAGCTTGCGAAAATCGTTGTTGTTATTTGAATAAATCTCTAGAGAGATCGTTAGAGATTTTCAAATTCAGAAGCATCGATCATAGAGCGATTTTTCAGGTTTAGCTGATGAATGTGGTGTTTATCGATAAAATCGGTGCGCGAGGTCATACGCCACGTTAGCGAAAAGCTGTGAATTGATGGGATGTCAGGTAGCATCGGGCTATCGTGCTTATCTCGCATATCCGGGGTTCGAATACGGGACGGGGGGGGGGAGAGGGGAAAGTGGCTTTTTCTTGCGCGGCAGGTTGCTTGATCGCTTTCGCTTGATTAGGCAATGCATCGATCCTTCTAAAGCTTGAATTTTATGAGTGCACTAAGGTTTTAAACGTGACCTTGATGAAGATGCTTCTAAAACATTGCTGAGCAGAAGCATCAGAAGCGTCACCTGACTGAGCCTTTTCACACTCGCACATTACATGTAATCCTGATGAAAGCGCTGAGATGCTAAGAAGCCGAGACCTTCGATTCGCCTTTACGACCGAGTCGAATAGTGGACGTGGTTGCGATGACCGGTTCGCTTCCATGCAAAGTCGTATTGAAATTTGTGCCGCTTAATCCGGCCACCTCAGTGCACCATCTAAGTTCTATTTGTCAATCATCTCCACCGAACCTCCAATGTTGACTTTCACCTTCCATTACAAGTCATTCATTGTGAACCACCGTCCATTTGCACAAATAGCCATTTTGTCCACATTCACCTGTTTGAGGCTATTCTATAACCATTATTTCGTTGATCTTACTTTTCTCAAAGGCTAGGGCTAGTCGCAAGTCTTTGTAACTTCGTCATGTCCTATTTTCTTCTTTTGTAATATTTTTGCTATCTGGGAGCGATATATTTACATGAGACAATGGTAATTATCTTTGATAGGGTTTTCCTCATACTTGCATTTTGGATATTAATGAAAATTGTCTACAATAAAAGTGCCTTAATTCCAACTCAGGGTCAATTACAAAGTGTCCACCTGCGCTTTTTCTTTTACTTACAGTGAATTTCAAAGCCATGTAGCGTAATTCCTCGCAACATATCACCATGTCATGGGCTTATCTATAATATGATACTTACTTTTCATTAGAACGGGGTAGTCCAGCAATATGAATAGTGGTTAATAACAACCGCTGCTAGATCTGTATTTTTTTGCTTTAATTTTTCTGGAGATAAAAGAAACAAAAAAGTTTGCTGCTGTTACTCAGTGCGATAATTATTTGGCAGTTTGTCCCATCTGCGATTATGCTAGCTCTTTTTGTTTTATTCGTTCGTAGCATAAGTCTTCTCATACCTTCTTCACTTTGCTGTGAAAGATCCTGAAAACTTGAGCACAACTTCATAATTGGCGTACTTGGGGAAAGGACACAAGGCCATTCACTGGCATTTTTTTTTACCTTCACGGACACGAGTTGAAGTAAATATAGAGAAATTTTGCTACTCCAATCGTCATTTTTTCCTTTTTTTTACAAGAATTTCATTCTTCTCCTTCATCTCTAAGCAACAACAGTACTGATACGAAGACGGCAGTGGCGTACCCGTCAGCCATGCACTTCGAAAAAATTTTTGGTATGCTTCCTGAAATTTTCGGGGGCTCAGGATTCCGAAATTCAGAAAAAGGGGCGTGGCTTCAGCCACGCCCCCAAAAAAAATTTATTTGTAAGGCTAAATTAAATTTTTAAAAATTTTTAAAAATTATTTTAATTACTTACAAGTATAAATAAGTCTTTTGCACACTTTTATAACTCATGTAAGTAACTTTCAAAAATTTCGCGACCCATTCTCGGGGGGGGGGGCGCCCCCCCCCCCCGCCGCCCCCCCCCCCTCGGTACGCCACTGGAAGACGGTGAAGTCTAAGGTTTTCAATAATGCGAGTTGCAAATTTGCCAAAAATAATTCGGGAAACTTCGCTAATCAAAAGTGGGATTTTTATATGTAAAATGTTTATATTCAAAGGCAACCCTCCACGTATTTTTAAGGAGGAAGAACCTCTCAAGAAAGTTATGGGATTCTTCCATCAGGTCATACCAAAATCATGTTGCCCCTTATTATTATTATTATTATAATTTTTTAGTATCTAAGCCAAACGCTGTAAAATTTGTACCTTGTAGATTATCCACGACTGTTGACTTTTGTTCCGAAATTATTTGTAATCGCACAAATTTTCCATACACAAGATGCGGATATTTCACTCTCTAGAACAACCCATCCCGGTATACTATACAGGACCGATTCTATAATTATCTTTACATTGTCAGTGCGACATGTATGGCTTGCGCTACAACAAATTCTCCTTTTATGTCAGTCTGGTTATAAGAACCACTCACGTCCTATAAGAAGCCAAGGTGTTAATCTCTTCTGTGCACTCGTCTATGCAAACAGTAGACTTCAGCCCGGATTATTATGTTTTACTTCGCGCCTACCGAGATACGCGAAGGCAATGCGCGGCGAGGCAAATGCCATAAATTCCATTCATTTTCGGATTGAATGTGCCTTGACCTTTACTGGATAATTATTTTCCATGTCACACTGTGTTCTTGCATATGGTCGGGTTTTATTGAACACTAAAGATTTTCTACTCAGCGAACGCTCAGGCCAATTGAAAGATAGATTGTTTAGAAGTTTTTTTCCAATGTATTATAATTTATCATGATTTTGGCATTGATAGAAGTTTCAAACGTATAGATTTTCAAGTCTGTAAACTTTGACCCTTTACTAGATTTTGGTGGCCATGATTTGCTGTTGTTTTTTGTATATATTTGTTTATTCGCGAGCACATTGCTAAGCTCTATAAAGTATGACTATAAATTTCCCGTCAATGTGCACTACACAATCTCTTTTATCATAAAAATCAAAAACTACTCACACTCTCTGACGAAACAATTAATTATGCTAAATCTTCTGTTACAAAGATTAAAAACTCAAATTTTGAGAGCTGACAACGAACTTGGGCTGAATGCTTACGTTTTGCGAAGTTTTCAAACTGATCTGCTGATCTTCTGAATTTCCCCATTTCTGAGCACTTTGTTTATAGCTTTTGTAGTTCAGCGAGAACGTGACTGATTTACCGTACAGAATTGCAGTAGAAATGAAAATTTCTCCTTCCGAAAATTGCGTGAAAAGCAGTTTTGAAACTCCTGTTCAAGACGCTTTACGTGTCGTTTTTTCCTCGCCTTTGCCGCTCTCGAAATTCTAACGGTACCAAATTTGCATAGCCATTGTGTTCGCCGAGGAGCGCCGATTGAGTCGTGAGTTTTTTTAGTAATCTAAAAAAGCAAAAGTTCGTAGACGATCTAAAAAGGGTACACGATGTCGGTGGATGGGTTGTAACTCCCGATGTGCCGCTATTTGCTGAGCTCTGTGTTTTTAGTCGCACAGGCGGAGTGACTAAATGTAACAAGTGTTGTCGTGACATTCATCTGTTATAGCTTTGAAATTGCCCGATCGCTTCTCATTGTGCATGGCCTTCGTACCGTCGTTCAAGTACTATTTACTGACACTTTTACACATTTTCACTTGTCCCATCACCAAGCACGTCATTATATCGACAACTGGTCAATTACCATGACAGAGTACTCCAGAAAAATCTAGAAATTGTCACCTGGGCCCGATCTTAATTCCTTTCCGTTAGGGGCAGTATTGACGGGGAAGGGAGAGAAAGGGGGAAATTTTGAAATCAAAGAAGGTCTCTAACAACGTTTTGGATACAGTGATCTATATTGACTTGCTTGTGCATTTGCAATCAATCATTTCCCCCGTAGTGTATATGACGAATAGCATCTGCTATTTTCTTATGTTCAAATGCATTGAATTTTCTTTTTGCTGTTTTGTGAGGTCAAAAAATGTGTAGCCGGATTGAGCATTATCTATACCGGTGAAAGTTAATCAGAGCGATGTATTCGCTTTTCTGAGTCACATTGCTCCTCTGGATTGATTCCTTTTGCAAAATCATTGGATTATGCTTACCACAGAGATAAATTTTTTGTACTTCGTGACCAACGAATGATAAATGAATGTTTCAAGTGTGTACGTTTCCATTCACCATCGTAATTGTGTGCAATGCACTCAAGCTGTTCACGAAAGGTGAGACCTGTGAATCTCTCGTCAGCTCGTTGCTTTTTACGATTGCCGATTATCGCCTACAGACCGTCAACTTTTTTCGAAAAAAAATGTGCATGGAAAGACCGAATATTGTTTTACATATTTTATAGCAGAAAAGTGGTGGCAATAGCGTTGAGAGCAGCCAGATGTTTCTGAAAACGACAATAATCTTGTGTAGAAATTCTGATTGTTTTCGTTCTACATAAGTCGTATGCATTGCTTTTTGAAGCGACATATTTTTTGGTTGTTTTTTCAATAATACAGACTTATTCGTAGTCTCTGCCAGTCATTCGTTGGACACTTTCTATTTCTTGAGGTTTGAACATTACTCTCATAATCAGATCCATGAAAAAAAAATCTTAACAATAAGGATGCTTGTTCCACAGCCTGACTTGAATTATTTCTTCAGTGTGAAAATGCCTTGTGTCTTCTTCCATGTTATTGCACAGGTTCTCTAATGGAAAACCGAATTTTGCAAAAAAAGTGTGCAAAGATCCAAAAGGAATTTTATCTCGCTTTTGTTTTTGCTCCTATTTCCTTTGAGATTTTGAAAGGTAAACTTCATGAACGATCATTACATTTCGACATTGTGCTTCGACCTCGATTTTATCTTATACTAGATGGCAAACCCGGCTCCGCCCGGGGCCAAACTTTGCACACATACACTTCGGGGCAGGGAGCGTGTCATAGTCCACTTTTCATTATCGATCGATGTCGATTTCACCGATTTTTTGCAAAATTTGAGCTACGGGGCTGGGATTTTGCACAGGGGGGTAATCGAACATGCTGATCACCCCGGAGGGGTTGATGGGGGCGAACTCCCAGCCCCGTAGCTCAAACTTTGCAAAAAAATCGATAAAATCGATAAAAGTAATCGATAATCCTGAAAACCAATATTGTATTCGGAATCCCCATGCTCGATTACCCCCCTGTGCCAACTCCTAGCCCCGTAGCTCAAACTTTGCAAAAAAATCGATAAAATCGATAAAAGTAATCGATAATCCTGGAAACCAATATTGTATTCGGAATCCCCATGCTCGATTACCCCCCTGTGCCAACTCCCGGCCCCGTAGGTGAACTCAGCAAAAAAATCGATAAAAATCGATAAAATCGATATCGATCGATAACGAAAAGTAGCCTATGACACGCTCCCTGCCCCGAAGTGTATGTGTGCAAAGTTTGGCCCCGTGCGAAGCCGGGTACGCCAGCTAGTTTTCGATAAAATATATGATATATATCAGTCATATTGAAAATTTTTCCTTTCCCCTTACTATAATTTTATCCTGAATAAGTCTGAAAAATTCATTGGTAATATGTAGGAGAGATTGTACGCATTTCACTGTTTCTATCAGCTTTCGAAGTTGCAGACTTCATGCAATTGTTGAATTCGACTACTTAGAAGGTCATTCCTATAGCGATGCAGCAGAACAAACTGCAAAGAATCATACCTGCTCTACTGGACATGGGAATTCATAGACCACTAAACGTCAAAATTTAACTCTTATCGTTCTCTACTCGTTGCTCGAAAATCACCAATTGCGACATCAATAAAAAGTCGTTCCGGAAAGTCTAATGAGAGGGTTCAAAATATCAGAAGTCCCCCCCCCCTCCCCGTAAAGCCTACGCCTTGTGACAGCTATCGCTGCGTTTGCAAAAACCAGTAAGTATTAGAAAAATCTGAGCCATAGCGAAACTGACACATTGCAGATTTCTTTGATTACTACTTTGTCCGAAACTTTGATTTTGAACTTAGTGACTAGAATGAGGGAGTAACTTCATTAACTGTAGTTATTTTCTTATTCGCTCTTCTGATTTAGAGTCACTCAAACTCAACGAAAATTTCGAATTAGGAGCTTCTATAGTGGAATTGTATGAAACCAAGTATAGACCAAATCAAATACATAACAAAAATTACATCAACACATCCTCTTTGAACATTTGACTCATGGGTCAACCTGGTAGCTGTCCGTTACACTTACTATCGTTTCGCTTGGACCTTCGTTTTTTTCACTTAACGCTCTCCACAGCTAGTTATGAGAACTATACCGATGGTCAGAACCTCAGGCTTAGCGACGGTACAGTAACACTTTCAGGCGGAATATCGACTCCATCTTCCTCCATTCCGGAGATGGAGAGAGGCACTCCGCAGCATAGTCCGAACAATTTAGTCAGCCGTATTCTACAGGTAACATTTCCTGGGTGAATTTTGTTTTGAGAGGTCTGTTTATTTGAAAGGCAATTCCAGGTAGCCCTCGGGCTATTTGTAACGACGCAAGATCTTCCTCCATATCCGTCAAATCATGAATATTTATCCTACGATTGCTCATTCGACAGCGATTGCAGGTTTCTAACCTACAACTGATTGCAAGGGTTTAGAAAAAATATTCAACTTAGATGGGCCTCTGTTGGTGGTACAATGGATCACTGGCGAATTGCGAGAGGTGAACCTGACAGCCTACTATGGCTGGCTGCAACGGGAACGATGCAATTGCCAAGTATGTCAGTTTGATAAACTGAGCGATTGGAGAATTAGTACCATAGTTCTAGTATTATACATGCAATGAACTCTAGAGATTTTGAGTTTGATGGTGACTAACTTATAGACTTTGTCTCATAAGCTCTTTCATGCAGGAGAACCGTTTGTGCTCATAGAGCAACGAGGCAATCCTGTTGATGCGCTCATGACAGACGAAATTCGATGTCAAAAAGGCTCAGCTGATTTGTCTTTCATCTACTGGGCTATCGGTAAGTTCTCTAGCTATATACATATACTAGCTGGCGTACCCGGCTTCGCACGGGGCCAAACTTTGCACACATACACTTCGGGGCAGGGAGCGTGTCATAGTCCACTTTTCGTTATCGATCGATGTCGATTTTACCGATTTTTATCGATTTTTTTGCAGAGTTCACCTACAGGGCTAGGAGTTGGCACAGGGGGGGAAGTGAGCATGGGGATTCCGAATACAATATTAGTTTTCAGAATTATCGATTACTTTTATTGATTTTATCGATTTTTTGTAAATTTTGACATGCGAGGCTGGGATTTTGCACAGGGGGAATCGAGCATGCTGATTACGAACACAATATTAGTTTTCAGGATCGTCCATTACTTTTATCGATTTTATCGATTTTTTTGTAAAGTTTGACCTGCGGGGCTGGGAGTTTGCACAGGGGGGTAATCGAGCATGCAGATTACGAATACAATATTAGTTTTCAGGATCGTCCATTACTTTTATCGATTTTATCGATTTTTTGAAAATTTGAGCTAGGGGGCTGGAATTTGGCACAGGGGTGTAATCGAGCATGCTGATCACCCCCCTTGGGGGTGATCAGCATGCTCGATTACCCCCCCCCCTGTGCCAACTCCCAGCCCCCTAGCTCAAACTTTGCAAAAAAATCGATAAAATCGATAAAAGTAATCGATAATCCCGAAAACCAATATTGTATTCGGAATCCCCAAGCTCGATTACCCCCCTGTGCGAACTCCCAGCCCCGTAGCTCAAACTTTGCAAAAAAATCGATAAAATCGATAAAAGTAATCGATAATCCTGAAAACCAATATTGTATTCGGAATCCCCATGCTCGATTACCCCCCTGTGCCAACTCCTAGCCCCGTAGCTCAAACTTTGCAAAAAAATCGATAAAATCGATAAAAGTAATCGATAATCCTGGAAACCAATATTGTATTCGGAATCCCCATGCTCGATTACCCCCCTGTGCCAACTCCCGGCCCCGTAGGTGAACTCAGCAAAAAAATCGATAAAAATCGATAAAATCGATATCGATCGATAACGAAAAGTAGCCTATGACACGCTCCCTGCCCCGAAGTATATGTGCGCCAAGTTTGGTCCCGATCGGTTCAGAAATAAAAATTTCTATTCCGCACATACGTACAGACAGACATACATACATACATACAGACAGACAGACAGACATTCAGCTTTATATATAAGATAGGTAAACTACTTATTCACTCCTATTTATATGTTGCAGGTAGTGCCGACTTAGAAATATGCCTGACGGACATCAACGGTGAACGATTCAACTGCACAGGAATGCTTGCTTCACCAGTTATGCCTGGCAAAGTATTTCTAAAGATTCCAGAGATTCAGAAGCCGTTTCGAGTACGATTCATTTGGTGTCAAAAATCTCGACAACTTTGATCCAATTATTTCAGATAATGATAGCGTCTAACAACCAGCCAGGCGTGCTTGTCATTGACGACATTCGTTACGATGCAAGCACGTGTCGAGATGGATCTCCGCCTCCGATTGCCCCAGGAATGCGAGGAAAGGAAATCGACATTTTTGGGGTAGGCTTTGAATCTGCTATTTCCCTAATCAGGACACGATTGACATCGCAAGATGTAGCCCCAGGTGCGCTTGCCACGCATTAACAAGAATGGAGAGTGTTGTTGGTTCCCTCATGAAATTTAAGTGATTGAAGTTCATATGTTGGTTAAGTAATGTAGCATTTTAACTAAATCTTAATTTTTTGACATAGCCATTCTTGAATTTCAGTCCACTGCCATTCCTCCAAAAGTCATACCATGGACAAGAAGGCTGGTCACGACGTCTACAAGTGCAAGCACATCAGAGCTCACTACTGTCACGACGACCGAAGCAAGTGAGTAAAGCTGACTGAAAAAAATATTATTTGTATAATGTTAGAATTTGATTCTAGTAACCACATCTCTGATGCCTATGACGGAAGAGCCAACTGAAGAAGTCATCACATCAACGACAAACTCTATAATAGAAAGAAAGTGAGAAAATAAAATACTAAGAAACAAATCAGTCAAAAAATTCTATTTGCTGCAGAACGCCCCCCTCCCTACCTTCCACATCGACGGAGATTCCATTCGAATTGATGGTACTTGGCAATAAGACACGACCATTGTTTGATAGGAGAACAGGTGACATTCCCCCCCCCCCCCCCCCTCCCTGCCCTACATAAAATTTACTGAAATTCAATACTAACTTGAGGTAACATCGTCAACGAATCGGCAAAACTCCTGTGTGATTTTAACAATGAGTTTGCGTGTCAGTGGGGAGCTGAAGCTGGCAGATGGGCTATAATTGATCGAGGTAACTAAGCCTGGACTTCCAATATATGTACGAATAATCTTTGGCATTTTCATGGGCCATACCGTCGCTGGAGGAATCTGTAGCTGATCCTACTCTGTTGCCTTCCTACCCCGCAGCACTGGTGCTCCAAGGTACAGCTATGTTGACAAGTGATCCTGTGCGTTGTCAAACTGGACCAGGGAAGGTATGAGTTTGAGGAATTTTTATCCACAAATATGTTTGTCCTCGAACTTTTCATCACAAGATTGAAAATAATTTTAGCTTCTGTTCCGATATTGGTCAAATGGAGACATCATACTTCAAGTATGCGTTCTTGGCTATGGTTAGTTGTAGATAGATATCATATTCAAAATGTTCTTGGATCACCTGATGATGCTGTAGGTGTCGACAGTGAGCTGATCGAATGCATAGACCAAGGCGCCAGCACGAAACACGAAAGCCGTTTGGCTGTGTTCGACTTGACAAACAGCTTCAAAGAACCTTTTACGGTACTTATAAAAAGAAAGTGCCCTCTTTGTATACTCGTTTATGATTGCTTCAGCTTAATCTTGTTCCTCACTGGGAGAAAGGACTGAAAAATCGTTTTCTTGTTATTGATGAGATCGCCTACATTGGCGAATGTGCGCAAGTAGAAAAACTTGGAATATCTGCGACCAGTACTTCATCACCAGCTACCCTAGTAACCACACCTCGCTCTACCAAAGTGATGCCAGAACCCACTGAAGAGCGAACACAACCTCCTTTGATCATAACGGGAACAAGAAAAACGACCTGGCCGCAACCAAGGCTCATAAGTCTACCATCCGTCCATGTTGTCAAACCATCAACAAAGGATCCGTATCCCAAGAAAAAGCCCTACCCAACGTAATATTATTATTCTATTGAAAAAAGGCAACGAAGTGTTGTGGCTGCTTTGTAGGCGTATTATCTCAACCACTACTCGGCCAAGCATTCCCAGAGAAAGGATCACAAGCAGGTCCACCACTGTGTAAGTTACTAGGGCGGTGGCTGGATTTTTGATAAAAATGTAAGATTCTAGAAGACCTCCATTCCGTTGGGTGACTCCGACGCGATTTACAACTGAAGAGCCAGTCCATGAAAATTATTGCGATTCTCTCAACTGCAATTTTGATGGTAAACACTTACTACTGAAGAAATTACTACCAGTTTCTTAAATTACCTTCGTGGTCATTATATTTTCAGAAAACGCCTGCAGCTACCTTAATCATGGATTGACAAAAAAACCGTGGACCTTGCGAAATCGTGGTTACGGCTACCCTCTTACTGGAACCAGTGATATACGGCCGAGTATGTTTCATTTGCATGCACTTACTATGCTCAGACAACTGCATCGGAAAGTTCGCGGCCTCAAAGCGTGTTACATGGCGCGCCGCGGCCCTTAAAATTTCAGCCGCACACGCCGCGGCCCATGTATATCTTACCGGGAACGCCGCGGCCAAAGTTGAAATTGGGAAGAGATTACCGGGAAGGTCGCGGCCCAACCACCTCACTCGGCGAGCCGCGGGCCCTATCAAAGGCCGCACTTCTTACACGCTGTAGTTTAAGGCGCAACCCTCGTAAGGTACGTCGCAGCAGTGAGGCTACCCTAAGTGTTTATGAGGCTGGGTATCGCTTCTCGGATTTGGTCCTATCTGACGGAGTTGAGTTTTTGTATTGATGAAATAAACCTCAGCAGTCGGATGAGTATTATCGACATTAGATGATGTCGACCGATGAGCTAACAAGTTGCTCAATTTGTGCTCAAGTCTTTGTCATGAAAGACACGCCAAAAGATTTTTCACTCTCCCTAGGCCTCACAAGCATGCTAATCGGGTCAACTATCGGGCGCTTACAGGGTGCACCGCGGTCACTTATCGGGTCCAATTTCGGTTTATACCGGGCAGCTCGCGGCATGGATGATTGGTGGTCGAGTAAGCACCCGCGAACTTCCCGATGCGATTGTCTGAGTGGGAGTACCCTCTGATCCCTCGGGATTGGTGGCTGGAAGGCGGGGCCTCGAGGCCTAAAGAAGGCCAGAGAATAATTAGAGAGCACACTCGCGAGAAAGACGCAGACTGCGTCGCGGGTGCGAGCGGTAGCCTTCCACCCGCCAATGCCGATGAATCATAAGGTCTGATCACAATGGATGTTAGGGTTTCCTATCATTGTCGCCTTTGGGTACTAACATAAAAACTTACCCTAATTTTAACTTTCCATAGTCTGGCAGCTGCAAACTTTCGCAAAAATGCCGTATGGGCGTGACCAGAGTAGTCGAGCAAGCGGTGTTTGCCAATTGAGTGAATACACTTGGCGAACACTCCGACCAAGGCAATGATTGGACGATATTTATCATTTCCCCGATCTCTAATTGGGCGCTCTTTTACCGTTGTAAACGAAAGCTCCATCGAGTGGTTTGTTAATGGAAAAACAACGCCCAATCAAAGATTGCGTGCTTGATCAATGCTGCCTCTGAATGACGCTGAATGCTATGCCCATCTGTTCACAAAAAAAACGAGAAAGACTTGCTGAAATTTGCGTGTAAAGCGTACTTTGGGACTTGGAGGCCCGAGAAAGATATTCAAATGGACTTTTACCGAGACACTCCTTTGAACACAGCGCTACCGTTTCAGCATCCACTAACGGACAATTTGTATCCACAATCCTTGATCCAGGCGACATTGCAATTTTGGAATCACCTAAGATGAATGCAACACGTTCGCTGAATGTCCTTCTCTTCCAGTATTTCAGGCCTTCACAAATGACAACGATTCGATTGTGTTTAGGTTTGACAGCCCTTTCTTGTCCAGGATTGAGAAATGCCTTTCTATTTGAGGCTCACGATATACAAATCCATACCGAACTGTGGCGGCATTTACCCACTGTCCTTCTATTCTTCGCTCTGTCACCACGAAGAATGCTTATCGGTGGAACACCGTGCATGTGCAATTGCCTCCAGGAACCACACATGTCAGGAAGTAAGACGCATTTTATCACAAAAATCATTTTATCTTTCAGTTTTACTTGGTTGCGCAAAACAATGAAAGATCCGACACTCGAGCAGCGGTGGCGATAGACAACATGAGAGTGGCCATTTGCGATCCACGCAGCTTTTCTCCGGACTACTTTGAAACGATGGGAGAGCAGCATTTTGTCGATTACGAGCATGGCAACTAAGCTGATCCCAAATGCCCACCACTTTTCAGTCTTCTGAAAGAATGCAATGTAGCCACGTTTGAGTGGCAATTTGGCTGTAGTTCAGCATGCAATTTAGATTTGTTCATATTTTTTTCTCTTTGGCGAGCACTTAAGGTTCACAGCCGGAAGAATATAAGAACCTACGGGCGCGAATGCGGTTTGTTTAACTGGGCGCATGGCCCTTCGCGACGACATCATCCTAAAATCTTTTTGATAAGTCCCCTTTTTTGGATTTCCAGTAAGATAATGCACTCTAAACAAAATCGCACAAAAATGGCAGTTTATCTCAATCCAAGGCTCTCTAACAAGGCTTTTTACAGTAAAGCAAATAGTTTTAGTTCAGTGCCGGTTTTTCGCAGCATTGCTGATGCGGCTTTTATATACTTCAGCTTTTTCAGTGCAGTGCGCTTTTATACATCAAGAGCCCTCTACCAAAGCGTAGCAATCGCTATTTTCTATTTCTGTGGAAATCGAATAATTCTTCTGTAATTGGTGAACTTATCTGTAGAAGAATCACCGATAAAGTTTTAAGGTAGTCGTCTTCGCGCCGCATTTGCACCCTCTTGAGCAAGTTGCGGTCCGCCTTCGTGCGGCAATAGGCCAGGCAGTGGCTCACCAAATGTCGGGATTTTTATAGGCAGTGGCTCACCGGAATTTGAGTCTTGAAATTTTTGTGAATTACAAGCATTTGCGATCCCCTAACACTGCAAAAACAGGTAGAGGGCAGCATGAAAATTCCTAAAACCCTGTTTTTTGAAGGCCTCATATAACCAAAAGACGATGCCTCTCTACATTAGTTTCGGCCGCAGCTTCAGACACGTCAAAGGCAGTGGCTCGGGAAAATCGCGAGTGGGAATTTCCACAATTACATGGCCTTCTGGACCAGGAGTCGGGTGCTGTGCTTGAGAAGTCAAAAAAATGCTTTTTGGCGTTTTCCAATGGAAATTGCTGAAGAGGCGGGGCGAGGGATTCTCGTCAACTGTATCGTATTGATTGCCTGGGCTGATCAGCCAATTGCCGCCAAAATAGTGAAGTTACAGTATCCTGCAGTCACTTGCTGGTTATGGCGGGAATCCCTCGCCCCGCCTCTACAGCAATCTGCAAGGCCGGTAAACCCCAAAAAACCTTTGACATTTCAAGCACAGTACCTGACTCAGCTGGTCCAGAAGGCCATGTAGTTGTGAATACCCCCCAGTCGCGAATTTTCCGAGCCACTGCCTTTAAGAAGGAGAAGAAGGGAGACGCTTGGTAAGACCTGTTAGTTGTACGAATGCGATCGCCCTCCGCGCGAGTTTTTTCGAAGTAGAAGACTCATCGAGTGCGACTTACAAGGGATCCGGTTAGTCGAAGGCCTTTCCGAATAAGTCATACACCATTTTGAAGAGCGTTAAACGCTGATTCCGAATCTGACTTTGTTATCTGCCGAGCGCCTCTGCATGCCGAGTTATAAATGTTTTTTAAAGCGAAAATTGAACGCAGAATCCAAGTAAAATCAACTACTACGGAGTTTTCAGCGCCTAAATAGAGCAACATGTAGTATGAGTGTTTCGAACAGAAGGTATCCTTTGAAACGGAGTGTTCTGCTAACCAACATTGGACCATTTGAGCAATTCTGACGAATTTTGCTCTAATTACGCATTCAATTTTTCAACCCAAAGAACGCTCATGACTCGGTGTCCAGAGGCGCTCGGCAGATATTGAAGACAGATTCGGAATCGGCGTTAAACGCTCTTCAAAATAGTATATGACCCATTTGGAAAGGCCACTTCGACTGATCCGACCTCCCTTGTTAGCAATGGCTAATAAGCTGGTCCTCTAACTAAATCTCGAGAAATCAATCCTCGAATTTGCCGAGTCACTGCCTTATTAGTATCGCACATGGCAACGCGCCCTTTTGCCCTACCTTTGGAGGCAGAGGCTTCGCAGGTTTACAGAATTTTTTTCTTAGAGAGTATTGAACCTTCTAGGTATTTTAGATCCAGAACCATGCCTTGCAGTAAAAACCTCAAAAGCGAGCTTTTCTGTACACAAAAATTGCTGTTTGGGTGACAAGAAGAAGTCTGCCTTTCGAGGAGAGCTTTGTCAAGTTCGGTTAGGTGCAGTGCATCGTATCACTTCACCACTCAATTTCGCCACCACCTTGGCAGCAACTGGCTGATTGACTAGGCCAGCAATCACTCTTTCAGCCGGGTATACTTCAAGCGATTTCAGTCAAGACCCGATTTGATACTCCAGTTGTCCTCAATCTATGTAAGCGCATAACAAGCAAGAAGACGGGGTAGTTCATCAATCCAAAGTTGAGAGTTTCAATGTGTCGCCACACCACTCGGCAAAAGCAAAATGCCAGGAGCGGCGACAACCTGTGTGAAGTTTGCCCGGGCCTTAGAGAGTCCGCTCCCTTCCGGAGCAAACGGCGGCATTGCGTTCAAAAAAGAAATCTGGTTAGTTTAGATTGCCGCAAATTACAAATCAAAACTCGAAAATACCGATAAAAAGTTGCAAATCTGTTGAGCCACTGCCCTTGACACATTATTCTCGACATAATCAAGAATGCTTCAAAACAGCTAAAGTCGATCTATCGCTACGCTGGATCCGGTAGCCAATTATATATGAAGCTATATAGAGGAAGGCAAACTGTGGCACTTGTATCATTGCAATCACTATCAAGCAGCAGTTGAAATCACACTATCTCATAAGCCTATCTCAAAATCTCTCACTGGTGCAATAATTTTCTTTCATATCATCTCGTCCTCTCAAGCGAACAAGCGTTACTCGCATTTTACTGCAGATCCGTCCTTCACTTAGTCTAGTCCCATTGCATGTACATTTTTACCATTTTTGATGCCATAATGATAGCTCCTGTATGCATCAGATGCAAGAAATTATAAAGATTCTTTCCTTCTTCATATGTACTATGTACTTGGAAATCGTGCGACTCTGACCCGTAGTAGACCTTCTTCATTTCAAGTCTCCTGAGGAGAGCCTAAGTTGATTTTACGGTGCCACAAATCAGCATCAGTCATCATGCGGTCTAGGTGCGGGTCGTTTTCTAGACATGAGCGTTAACAGAAGAGCATCTTCGACATATGTACAAGCTTGATTAAATGGATAAAAGGGATCGGCATAGGTTGCCGGCAACTGTTGCCAGGATTGCAGGGGTTGCAGAGGTTGCCAGCGTTGTAGGGCCGCACAGTATTTCTCTGAGTTCACACTATACTTGGGGAAATTCGAAATTTTTTTCGAGTATTCGAATATCGAATATATTCGAAAATTGAAACTTTCCAATATTCGAATATCGAATAATATTCGAAAATCGAAATTCTCGAATATTCGACTGTCGAATATTATTCGAAAATTGGAAATTTCGAATATTCGACTTTCGAATATTATTCGAAAATCGGAAATTTCGAATATTCGACTACCGAATAATATTCGAAAATAAAAATTTCGAATCGAATAATATTCGAATATCGAATATCATTCGTTATTCGAATTTCGAATAATATTCGGTTCTCGAATGTTATTCGATTTTCGAATACTGATCGAATAATATTCGGTTCTCGAATGTTATTCGATTTTCGAATATCATTCGATTTTCGAATACTGATCGAATAATATTCGGTTCTCGAATGTTATTCGATTTTCGAATATCATTCGATTTTCGAATACTGATCGAATAATTTACGTCCTTGAGACTGCCTAGAAAGGACAAAACATCTAAGAATAAATCGTTACATATAAGTGTTAAGAATGGACACATTTCCATGGTACAATTTGCGATGGAAAAACAGTTTAATCATGACGTGGAGAGACTCAGGAACCTAAAAGCTACTCCTGTTGACGATTGTGAAGAGAATTTTCGTACTTCAAAGAAGATTATATACCCTCACTGAGAGTTGCGACTGGATATACAGCGGTCCCAACAGTATGTAGATCTGTAGGCTGACATCAACTTAGAGTATGGGGCGATTTATCAATAGCTTTACACTGTTGTAAAATTACCGTAGGATTGAAGTGGCGCATCAAGAGCCACTTCCTCAAGAAAAAGAACCAAAAGGGCCGAAAGTCTTGCATTAGACTTCTAAAGATACTCACTTTATGTAGAATTTGCACTCAACTGTAACGCTTTTTTTTATGAACTTACGCCAGGTACACCATAACAAGTGTTTTGCAACGCCTTTTAAAAATGTGAGTGCCATTTGATAAGCTTGGAAACTCGTGCGTAGTGAAATCAGCATACGTAAAAACACTGCTGTATAGATTTTAGACCTTTTTTGGGGACAATTTTTTTGGATGTCTTATTTTGCAGTTGGTCTATATGCTGGATTTCCTACCGTGATAACACACAATAAGAAAAACATGGGTGATTCGCTTGTATTCATAAGCCGAAGCCATCCCTACTGGATGTTACCCAGAAATTGGCAAAAGACTTTGAAAGGTATTAGCGATTAAACGGTGTTTAGATACTTTTAAGACGCCCGGTATACGCTATGCATATCGAATTTTCGAATATTCGGTGCTTATCGAATTTTCGAATAGTCAGTTTTTATCGAATTTCCGAATATTCGGTGCTTAACGAATATTCGAATATCTGATGGACATCGAATGATCGAATGAATGACCCTCGAATATTCGACTATCGACTATCGAATAATATTCGAAAGTTAAGATTTTCGAATATTCGACTTTCGAATAATATTCGAAAATGAAGATTTTCGAATATTCGACTATCGAATATATTCGAAAACTGAAAATTTCGAACATTCGACTTTCGCATTTTATTCGAAATCTCAAATTTTCATATATTTGACTTTTCGAATCATTCGCATTCGAATGATTTATTCGAATGATCGAATAATTATTCGATTCGGTCCCAAGCATAGTTCACACGCTCTTTGAAGGCACTGGCCACTCAGAATGGGGTCTACGATGGAGAAGAATGGAGATTACGATGTCTTACAGTTGCGGGGCCCTCAACTATATAATTGATGCTGACTGAAGTTGCTTCCAAAACGAGAAAATCGCTTCGAAAATCCTTCGGAAAGCGGATTCGCCATGTTGGCTCCTCCCTAGCAAGTGGGCGGACGTTTGTCCCGCCCACACAATAATTTCGCCTAGCAGGCACAAAGCTCAAGAATCGATCGGATCATGCGAGAGTTCGTCCCTGCCCTGCGATAGTCTCGCAGCTAGCCTACGGCTGACCGGCAGGCGCAAGGAGTGCTACTGCGAATTCTGAAAGGCATCCAAAACTGAATTATTTGAAACTTTCGTCCAAT